GTCGCCACGAGCGACTTCGCTCTGTGCTCGACCCACTCGAGAGAGACCGGAACGAGTCGTGTCCGGTCTCGATGTTTGTAATCCATAAATAGACGGAGATCGTTGCCAAACCAGTGCCGGTGGATTATAGACGATACCGCGACACCAACGCGGAACGAAAATAGTCGAATAGTAATTACCGCCCTCGACGAATTACGTCCGCGTCTTTCTTTCCAAGTTGCGCGTCGTTGAGAAATGCGTCGGCCGAAAATATTTCCCAATTCTCTCTCGATAAAATTTCTTAAGTTTTGTTACATATGATCTCTACCTGAATGTAGCACATAAAAAGTATTTCGTCTAATCATGGAAGAAGATTACTTCTCTTTAACAGACAAAACGAAATTACAACGCTACCATGCAACACAAACTTTGGAGAGATAGGAACTCGGTATATTCGCTTCTGTACCATAAGTAGCCACGAGCGACCCATTTCGGCTAGTAAATCCGCAAAAATAGACACGACGCATTGCCAAATTCGTACTTATATATGGCGAACAAAGTTTCGGGACGCGTGGAGGGATGATTCGTTTCGGAAAATCGTCCTCCACGGCCGGCGAAACGCCGTCCAAATAACCTCGTAATTCTTGCACCGTGAATTCTTTTCCTTCGTGAACGTCACTGTTTACGAGCACATTTCCTCCGACTCTTTGTTTGCCAAGATACGAAAGATCGAATCGTTACGAAAACGTTTCCCGCTCTTGATTATATCTAAATATACATAATTCGAGTTTGATGCCTCATCAAACGAAGAAACGACTCAAACAAAAATACCGTACACTCTATCGGCGACAAATTTATTATTATTCGTTGGAATATCACGCTCCGAGTCGATAAAACGGATCGTAATGGCGGAGACGACAGCAGGTTCGTTAAATTAATAACGCAGTCTCGAACACGTACGATAATGGTCGCGGTCGGCGTCGGTCCGGGCCAATTTATTCGCGAGAGGCCGGAATAATTTGCCAGGAATAGTAGTCGCGGCCGACAGACACGAACGGCGTCGGTCTGATCATTTCGGGAGTGACCTACTGCCCTTATGTGGCGCGCACTCGGTCCTCCTCGAATCACGCGGCCGAAAACCGATCGCGTGCAATTCGCCACCGGATAAAACAAATAAACATCAGTGCGTGCCACGACTGGCTTGTGAAGCTGGCGGGCAACGTCGAACGCGATGCGATAGTTTTGTCTTTCGACGTTGCGTAAGCTTCGCCAGGTTGAAAGGACTGGATCGAATAGCGTCTTCGACGTCTGAAGTTTCGGACCAGATGGTTCCTCGTTGTTACCCAGTTACGACCGCTGTTAATTATTCGCGAGTTTTGCGGCTAATGTAAGAATAATACACGGTGTTCCATGGAAATTTCTATGTATCGAAAAATTAGAAAATGCGCAACTGTATTTACATAACACAATGCCGTAGAATATCTGACCGGCGGAACCTGACGTGAAACTTAGTACGTGTTGCGTCAGGAATGAAAGTAGATCCGCCAAATGTCATACTCCGCGTAACTGATTACTAACGGTAGTTACGAATGTTAAATACCACGTGCGATACAAATATCGAAATTCGAATTTGGCTGGCCGCGAAATTAGAATCGTTTGGCAAAAGGCAAGCGATCATCGAAACAACGGATGATCAAATATTTGGAATATCTAGAACGGAAGATTCTAAATAGAAGAGATAAGGATGTGACTAAGAGAACCAAAGGGAACTGGCACATCCTACGAGCGATAAAGACTTAAACAACAATGATTTAATCGCTTTGTTTATACGCGAATTCCACCGCGCGCCGGATTCGAACACGTTGAGTCGATGGTAGTGAAAACAAACGCGATCACGGAGGGTGAAGACAATTTCCCGCGTTGTTCGTAATCCGCCTTCCGGCCCGCACGCGTTATACAACGCAATCAACGAGGTATGGAACGGAAGCCACGTTCCTGGGAAGTCACGTGGCCAGCCGGTCCTACGGCCTCGGTTCTTCGATACTTCTCACGACGCGTCTCGGAAGTCCTGCGTTGTCTGCCGTTCGCTTGTCGAACGCTATTCCCTCGCAACGACGACCCTACGAACGATGGTCGCTCGTTCACCTTGACCTAGGTCGAGTGCAACCATCGAACGCGTTCTCCACGCAAACTTCACCGTGATCTTCTTTGTTCGACATCGTTTCTGGATCGCGGCCGAACGACACCGCGCGCGTGTGATTAGGCCTCTGAGCGCGTTCACACGTTCGCCGACGGGATATACGCTTGGCAATGTGAACGACACGCTTTTTAGAAAGTGACGACGTTATTGTGTACCGACTGAGCGCGATAATCGAAGGAAAACCGAGTTCCCGAAAGACGGAAGAGAAGCCCCTGGAGTTTTTGATGTTCGCGTGTTGAAAAAGGAAGGATGAAGTCAGCAGGGACTTCCATGACAGGCCGAGCCAGAGATGTAATTATATTGTCACTTTAAACACCGAGTATACATGAATAATCCATAGAGTGGGAAAGAACAAAAGTCTTTCGCCAGGGAACGCGTCAACGTGGCGCGGACATAATGCATCAGAGCCGCGTAGTTCCGGGACGGTAGAAAATCGTCCGTGAGAGTAGAAATCTCGAATATTCTGAAAAGTAGGCAGCGAGACGGCGGCGCCTCGTGTTTCTCATGCGGAGACGGTTTCTCTTGCTAAAACAGATCATATGCAAAAACTTGCGATGGATGCGCTCTTTGAGCAACCGATTAGCGTTCGACGAGAAACTAGTCCATCCAGAAATCTAATTGTCAAGAAAGAATTCGTGGAAACGAAAGAGATAAAAGTACTTACATATGTATTTCCGAAAGAAGAAATCTTTTGTCCAACTGCCAGTCTTCGGGTACGGAGAATCGCCGAGCGATTTCGCCCGTTGTCGCAGAGACAATGGAAGATTCAGCGTGAAGGCGATAGCGAGCTTCCTGTTTACACCAGCCTACCAACGGGAACGTAGGTTGTAGCGGGTGTTCTAATCGCGAACGTGCCGCTATTCGCATGCTGGTCGCGCATCTCGGCGAACGTGTGTGAATCGTCTGGCGACAAAGGCTTGTCCCGAGTCTACCTTCATTCACGTTCGTTCGAAGAAACGGGGAAACGGGAAAATACGCTGGAAAAGTTCGTTGGGGCCCGGAGAACAGTACGTCGCGTGCATATTTATTCTCTGTTGGCGCCGCTTAACAATCTCGTTATTTTATTTATAAATCATCGACGAACATAGAAGCTTGTTTCCACGATCCTATTTCTTCGTGGCCGCGTTGGCGCGCGAATAGACACGCGAATGGCCACACGTCGTCAATGTCGCCGATTCCACTGGAACAGCCGCTTCACCATGACACATCGGCAGGAATAACTGGCCGATTTAAAAGCGGCTGGTTAATCGTTACCGGCGTGCCCGTAATTGCCTCACACGGCTAATAATAGAGCATCTTTAGAGCTGGCTCGTTTCAACGTGCCTTAGCGCTGATTCATCGGGACTTTTGTTTATTGTTTACGTCCCGGGGGCGACCATTGGTTAACTTTCCTGCTGGTTCGGGAACAGGCGGCTTCCGCGGCCGCTTTGACTCGCTTTCGTTCGACTTGCTTGCAAGGTTCGTTGGCTGCAGCTAAAGAAAGCACAAACGGTAAACTTGTGTATGCGAAATAATACGCATGTATCATAGTTATTTATATTTAGCGATAAAGATCATCCATATCGAACAATTTTACCGTGCAATTCTCTTTCTGAAATACGACGTAACACGACCCAGATATTGCATTCTGCGATACATTTGCTATACAATATCGTCCAAAAAAATTGTCGCTGAAGTATCGGGCGCAAATCAGTGGCCACTAATTGTCCGGACCACACACGCGATTCCCTCTTTAGTTCGATGGCGAGCGCGTCCGATTGTCGCACGCTATTAATAGTCGTCTCTATCGGCGAGCATCGAGAACGTCGCTGGTATACCGAGTGACTCTCTATATTTAGCTCGATGGTGTCGCGCACAGGTGTGAACGCCGCATACCTGGCCACGCATCCCGACTTAAAGGTGCATGCACACGCGCCGCCGTGCCGTTGTAAACAACAGCGGCCGTGGGAGCCGC